GATTCCCGAACAGCCTCCTCACTGCCCCCGTAGGCAGCCGACCATCATCAGATGGAGGACTGGGGGAGACAGAAAGAATGTCTAGACAACTTGGGGCAGAAGGCACGGCTGGGGGTGGGGTCCCCAGACCCCAGCTACCCAGTGCCGGGGCTTGACCTGCCTCTGCAGGCGTCTCCTCGAATCTCCAGCCCAGAGTGACTGGGAATGCCAAGAACCCTCGACTCCCTGCCTCCCACTCTCCGGTGCATTCCAAGTGCCGGGCAGCATGAGACAGGAATCCACCGAGGCGTCCCAGGGGCACCCTCCCCCCAGCACCCTCCCCCCAGCACGCCTGCCAAGCTGACAGAGGAGTGGGAAAGTGCCGGCCACGCCCAGCACGCCCAGGGGGGACACAGCTCCCTCTGAGCCTCCCTGCTCTGGTGAGGAGGTGCATCTGGGAGGAAGGAGGGGCGCCAGCAGGGGGATGGGCTGGAAGATGAAGAGGGGTTCCAAGAGGCGGGTGCTACACTGAGACCACTGCCCGCCTGGCCATCACGGGCTTTCCTGGGGAGAGCGGCACTTCCCTGGGCCACCTCGGTCCCCAGAACACACCAGCTCCTGCTCTGTGGTGGAACCACTGTGGGCTGCTAAAGGAAGGAGCCCAGAGGTGAGCCACTGGGCAAGCCCCAAACCCCTGGGGCTCTCAGTTCTGTCCCCCGCAGCCACGGCCTGCGTCAGGATCACCCCGGCCGGTTATCTGACCATCAGGGGTTGAGAGTCGGAGCGGAGGAAGAGCTGGGCAGGGAGCCGACACTCACTCAGTCTGCTGAACTGAAGGGCTGGAGGAAGGCGTGACTGCACCTCCCATGTCCACTGGCGTGTGCTCAGTGACCGGGGACAGGCGTGCGCTCAGTGACCGGGGACAGGCGTGCGCTCAGTGACCGGGACAGGCGTGCGCTCAGTGACCGGGGACAGGCGTGCGCTCAGTGACCGGGACAGGCGTGCGCTCAGTGACCGGGGACAGGCGTGCGCTCAGTGAACGGGGACCTGGCTGAAGGTCCTAGGAGGCTAAAGCCTTCCTCCTGCGTGAGTTCTGCATCAAAGGAGGCTCTCCTCTCGGGCTGTTTGTTGAACAAGTCCTCGGCATAACGGCTGACACAGCGGATGTACAGTAAATGTTCACCGAATGTTTTTCAATCAATGGATGATGTCACAGAGACAGAGCGGAATGGTGGCTGCCGGGGGAGGGAGTGAGAGCTGTTTACTGGGGATACAGCTTCTTGGGAAGGTGAGGAGAATCCTGCGGCTGGGTGGTGGTGACGGTGGCACATCGTGAATGTGGTTAACACTCCGAGCGAGCGGTACATAGAAATGGCTGAGCTGGCCCAGCCAGTTTGGCTCAGTGGTCAGAGTTATCAGCCCATTGACGGGAGGGTCTCCGGTTCAATTCCTGCTCAAGGGCATGAACCTGGGTTGCAGGCTCAATCCTCAGCCCCAGTCAGGGTCACGCAGGAGGCAACCAATCGATGTGTCTCTCTCACATTGATGTTTCTCTCTCCCTCCCATTCTATCTAAAAAAAAAAAAAAAAAATCAATGGAAAAATGTCCTCGGGTGGGGATTAACAACAACAGCAAAACAATGACTAAGATGGTAGATTTTACGTTATGTGTATCTCACCACAATTGAAACCTGAAATTTAAGAAAGAAATCAGTGATGATGGGTAAACAATGGGAAAGAATGAGCTGGGTCACAGCTGCCAGGGTGCAGGATCTTAGAGGGAAAACAGCCACAAGCCTGGCCAGTGTGTTCAGTGGTTAGAGCATCGGCCCACGAACCAAAGGGTCTCAGGTTCAATTTCTGGTCAAGGGCACATGCCTGGGTTACAGGTTCAATCCTGGCCCTGGTCAGGGCACTTTCAAAAGGCAACCAGTTGATTTGTCTCTCACACATCGATGTTTCTCTCTCTCTCTCCCTCCCTCCCTCCCACTCTCTCTAAAAATCAGTGGAAAAAATAACCTCAGGTGAGAATGAACAACAACAAAAATCCACAAATCCTCAGCAACTCTCCACCAAGAGCTGGGATGGTTCCCCACACCATGAATCCGGGCTGGACTGTCCCTCGACTGGACCAGCAGAACAAGGCAGAAGTGACATTGCGTGGTTTCCACGCCTGGGCATCGGGGGGTCTGTGGGCTCCCACACCCGGCCCGGGGGCTCCTCCACCTTCACACACGGCCCAGCTGATGGCCAGCGCCAACCGGACACAGAAGTGAGGTGTATCAGAGCAGCCAGCTCCCCTTGGGCTGCCAGATGACACATGAGCCACCCAGGCACGGCCAGCGAATGCCCGAGCCCTGCCCAGATGGCTGATCCAAAGAATCACGAGCATGAAGCCAGGAGCATGGAGCCGCAAGCAGGCTAGTATGTCAGCAGGTAACTGATGGGGTGAGGCAGCCGTCCACTGAGCTCCAGTCCTGCCCCGGCCAAAGCCACCTCCCGTCTGCAGCTCCCCAAAGGGGCTCTGATCAGTCTGTAAGTCCTCAGGTAGAGAGTGACAAAGTCCAGGACCCAGGGGACAGGGTATTCCAGCCTAAGGCTGGGAGGGGTGAGTGGGGGACTTTCTAGGATCCGACGCTGACTCATGAGGACAGAGGTGTGGACAAGCTCCCCCACTCTCTGAAATGCTCTCCACAAGGTTCTAACACTAAACAATACAAGTCTGACCTCGAAAGGTCGAACCAAAAGGTGAGGACCCCGAGCGAGCCCAGCATCTGTGAAATATGCTGCTTCGAGTTGAGGGAACAGGACCTGGAACAGAGAACTCTGACCCACAAAGCCTCGCTCTTTGCTACAAGAACACAAGTGAAAATGGGTGACACACTAACTTGATTTTATCGAGACTTCTCAATTCACCAGGTTCCCAAGGGACCCGCTGGTATCCGTGGACAATGACGGCCAGCACGATGTGATCCACACTGGCCCATATCAGCATCCTGTTCTCAAGACCTTTTCCAGGCACCTGCCCCCCAGCCGGCCCCAGGAGCTGAGCCCCGAGTCAGCAGCTACCACGGCGCCACCCCCGGCGCCCCATCCTTGACCTGCGTGGTATCTGCACAGGTTAATACCAGTAGAAACAGGCCATTCCATCAATAGTTCACTTGGGAACATTTCACAGCGTAAATTCTGAGAAAGCTAATAGTCTCATGGGGCACACGATGGACTTAGGCCTCAGGACACGTTCGGCACGTTTCTGACTTCTGTCTCCCCCGCTGAGGCATCATCAGAGGGCCCGCCCAGCCCAGGGAAACCTGTGCGCTTCCCGGGCTGCTGCACGGAGCCTGGGACTCCCACGGCCGAGCACCTGTGCTCCTATTACCCCTGGACCTCGTCACAGCTCCTTGGTTACCCATTCGGGGAGCCCACAAGAAAGGAAACTGAGGACCCTGGCTGAATGCCAATGTGATCGTCCCCGCTTCCTTCACGTGGCACCAGGCAGCAAGGATCTGCTGCTGTACTTAGGAGCTGTGGTCATTCCAGGCTGCTCCCTGACGCCCGTCCTCGCTCCCTCCCACCCCACCCTCGGCCACTCCTTCCACTAGTGTCCGCATCCTTAGGGGGACTCCAGCTTCCAGCCACACCACTGTCCCTCACCGTGCCCTCTGCACAGACCCAGGTTTTTAACCTGCGGTGGAGATCGAAAATAAGACATGCAGGATGGGACCCCGCGCGGGGTCACCGGAGGCAGAGGCCTGTGTTCGCTGAGGGCGTGACCTGCACGAGCACCGAGCAGCCCAACCGCCTCTCAACTCCGACGGGAGGACCGCCGCAGCCCTCACACGGTCCGCACCCCAAAGCCGCCACTCCACGCGGGCTTCAGCAATCATGTGTTAGGACTTCTAATATTTATATTATTATACAAATATGCTTTGTGCAACAACGCCAGCTGTCCTCACCCAGCTGAACCCTTGTTCGCTATTTCATTTTAAGACAGGCCCCCATGTGAGGGCCTCTTGCAGACCCTTGTTGCTTCGCCCACTCTGACCTACCCTCACCCTCCTCAAAAGCCCCCATGTCTACTGGGATGAGCAACTGTGAGGACGAGAACAACCAAGAACCATCGCTTCAAGTGACAAGCTCGAAAGCCCTGGTCTGACCTCCAGTCTAAGCCTGTTCCAGGCACAGTCATCCTCATCCCGCAATGACGGAAAGAGCCTCGGACACACAGCACTGATGTCCCAGAATCCAGGGGACGCTGGGCGTCTCCCTTCTTTTCCGTGGGTTAGAGACACCTGCCTTCTGGTCATTTTGCTGCTTATTAAGGCGCTTCGACTGGGCAGCCAGGGAGGACGTGGAGATGAATCCGAGTCAGTTAGGCGGGATACTCTCAAGCAACTCTGGCAATAATAATAATGATAAACAATGAATAATGACTGCCGGGAGGCCAGAGTTGGCGCCAGCGGTCCAAGGCGGGCTGGACTGGCCAGGACACATCCGTGGGCATCGCTGGCGGTTCCAGCTCCGGACGGCACAACACGCCTCCCTTCGCTCTCACCCTCGGCTCCTGCACCTTAGAGCTGCTCTTGCTGGCGACTGCCCTGGATGTACAGTCCTGTCTCTGCCACTGTCTTGTCCCCACCCCCACCCTGTCCCTGTCCCTGTCCCTGTCCCGCTTCTGAGTTCATTTTAATAAAAGCAGTTGTTACCCTCTCCCACCCAAAAAATGCATTTAAAAAGCTTCCCTCACAGCTTTGCCTTACGGGGCACCCCCACCGAGGCTGTGTGTGCGGTGGGCGGAGGCAGGAGCAGAGAATGGTCCTGGGACAGGGACAGGTCGAACCTGCCCAGGCCAACCCACCCCAGGCAGCCACACACCCGTGCTAACTCATCACCCGCCCCTCTCCCTCCCTTTCCACCAGTGTGGGGCCACTGCCGTCTGAGTCCACCAAAGGCTGAAAGAAAAACATATAACGATGCAATTCTTTTTAAAGGACAAGCAAATCTAAATTTAATCCAACTTACCCTTGTTTCCCAGGAGAAGGGGGCAGAGTGCTCATCTTGCCAAGTTATGTCCTGAAATGAAAAGTCAAGAAGAAATCTGAAATCCAAACCCAAACACCCCATGCAAACATCCCCCAAGGCCCCAGAGGAACCGAAATTTAGGAATAATCCCAGCTCTTGACTGGAAACAAGCCTGGTGTTTTGACGCTCTGCATAGAATGTGCTGACCTCAGTCTGGCTGTGCCCACCTTTCTGGCTGCGGCTGCCAGACATGCTCTTCCTCAGCCAGACAGACATGCGTGACCGCTGGGGACCCCATGGCGGAGTTGGCTAGGAAGGGAAGGGGACTTTAGGGCTCTGCCCCACGTGAGGACCCAAGGGGCCATGGGAAGATGATCGGCCTTCTGAGCCTGTTTCCTCATCTATTACAGGAGATCATTTTCCCTTGCAGGGCTGTTGTGAGGATTTAACGTAACCACCAAAGAACCAGCAATGATCTGCCCGTCGACGTACCATCCTTCCCCTCTCTGCCCACCAGAGATCAGAAAGGCACTGGTCAGGAAATCAATGACAAAAATGCCAATTTAATGCAAGTGCCTAAACATAATGTCAACTCTGGCCTCGCGCCCGCCCTCACCAAGCAGAATGTGACAGAAAGCCCTTCAGAACAGTCACTGGCAACCTGACCTTGGATCCAGTATGTCTGCTTCTGGCTAGACAAGGACAGGGAAAGGCCTTTCCCCGGTGACCCCTCCAACCACCAGCTGTATCCCTGTGCTAACGACCGTCTCATCTGTGCCCAGCTTCTCCTGGGGACTGCACTTTCTGAACCAAACACTGGGCATGTTGGGCAATACAGATTGAAAATGGGGTAAAATACTGAGTGGAGACTGTCCTTCCATTAAGTACCCCAGGTAATTGTGTCTTCTCCCCTCCCAGAGGTGCTCCCTGCCGCGCCGGGCTCGCTGGCTCTCCCCCGCGCTAGGAGGCAAACCGGTCCTGCAGACAAACCTCCTTCCTTCCCTCGGAGGCTCCAGCCTTGCCTGACCTGAGCTGCTACCCGCCCGTCAAGCAAAACTTGAAAAACGAGAGGGAGAGGGAGCGGGGCCACTGCCCTCCCGTTTGGAATTTCAGTTAAACCCAAGTTATTTTCACTTGCAGACTCTGTTCCTCCAAAAATGGAAATGGGCTGCCTGAGGAATGTGAGTTAAGAAGCCTTTGTGACCGGAGTCTCGTCTCGGCACAGGCTGTGGGCTCCTGCGTCCTGTCCCTGGGTGGGGGCGGGGCGGGCCGCGGAGGAGTGCAGCTGAGCTCAAGGACCAGACGGTCCCTACAATTCTATGATCTTAGAAGTAATCAAACAAGATGGACTTTGTTTTCAGATGGCAAAAATAAAGGCGGCCGATGGAATATAAATGTCATTTCATCTAGATCTGAACCTGTACAGAAAGTAATGGGAATTCAGCAGACAAATGTGTTCCTTCTGTCCAGAAGTGGAACCGCCCATGGCCACCGCAGGGGACAGAGGAAGTGTGTGCAGGGAAGGGCACAGGGCCACTGGCCAAGGGCAGGGCACTCCAGAGCTAGACTTCCCTTCTCATGTGATAAGACCTCTCTTCTGAATAGTAATTATGCAGCTTGAGTCCCTTTGAAATCTGCAAAGACTAAAAAGGTGTTTGGTCTTCGAAGATGAATGAGTTCAAGACTCAGCATCAAGGATTCAGCCTGGGGCCTGGGAGCCAGTGGTCTCCAGTGGTCGCAGCCCACCTGAACTGATGTTCCAGCGAGCTCAGAGACAGGGACAGGGTCACTCTGATTTCTCTCCAATTTCTTGTCAAGTCAATAGTCTTTTGTTTACTTCAGCAAGAAACTGAGTCAAGGGACAAATTCCTTAGATATCTGCAAATCTGAGCTCATAAACAAATAATGAAGCTCTTAACGAAAATAAACATGCCAAACACAAATGATTGAAGCTCTGATGTCAGCCCCTGGAGGCGCATTCCAGCCACAGAAAAGCGGCAAGAACAAGCTCCCCAGGCAGTTGGGGGCAAAGCAGCATCAGAATTGCAAAGTGGCAGCATGCATGTGTGTGCACACACACGCGCATGCACACACACACGCATGCACATACACACGCACGCACATACACACACGCACTGCTCTCCTGATCTAGTCCCACGATGACCAGCAGGCAGCCAGGATGTGGCCAGGCACATGCTTGTGGACAATCACGTTTCCTGTAGGTTGGCTTGGAAGGGTCCCTCTCGAGCCCCCGTGGTGTCCAACACCGAAACATATCCGCTACCAAGACCTCGGGACCAGTAGCAGGCTTCATTGGGGCCAAGAGTTATCCTCAGTGTTAAATTCCACTCCATTAAGAGACGTCCAGACCAGAGACAACACGAAATCTCTGGAAACGATTTCTTCTCTGGAGCATGACACTCGACAAAGAGCAGAGGAGTCCTGGCTGGGTGGCTCAGTGGGTTGGAGCATCACCCTGTGCACTAAAAGGTTGCAAGCTCGATTCCCGGTCAGGACACATACTTAGGTTGTGGGTTCGATCCCTAGTTGGGGTGCATACAGGAGGCAACTGATCGCTGTTTTTCTCTCCACTCTCCTTCCTCTCTCTAAACAGAGCCTCAGGTGAGAATTAAAACAAAAAAGCAGAGGGGAAGCCACAGAGAGCCACGGGACACACAGCTCCAGGCAATTATCAGAGGCCCGCACACGTGTGGCGGGCTCTGTGGGTCCCCACGCGATGCCAGGGACTCGGGATGGACACACGCCGAAGATCTTCCCCAACCGTCCAGAGGCCTGGGCTCCTGCCCGCCTGGGACATGTTCACCCCACACAATGTCATAAAAACAGTAATTTTTTAAAAATAAGAATATATATTCCCTGCCCATAGTCCTGGAATGAATATTCGCAGGAAAGGTCCAGCATTTACAACTTTACTACTTGGTAAACACGGATCCCCGGGAGCTTTAAGATCTCGGCGTCCAGCTATTCTAACCGTTGGAGGCTGTGATTGTGGTGGGCTGGGGCAGGCTCGCACCACCTCGCCGATGACCGTGACGTTGCTCGCAATGGCCTAAACGTACACATAAAGGTGGCCAGGACGGCCTATTTTGTTATGCATATTTTACCACAATAAAAAACAAATCTGAAAAGGCTACATACGGCATGATTCCAACTCCATCACTCTGGAAAAGGCAAAATTATGGAGACAGTACAAAGATCAGCAGGTACCAGGAGTTAAGGGAGGGGGATGAGCAGGCAGAGCACTGCGGATTTTAGGGCAGCGAAATACTCTGTCCCGTGTTGTAACATGGATACTTCTCTCAAAACCCACAGAATGTTCACCACCAGGAGGAAACCCAGTGTAAAACCCGGACCGCGGGCAGTACCGCTGCGTCAGTGTAGGTCCATCGCGTCACAAGCGCATCGCTCTGGGGAGGCCGTGCCTGTGCAGAGGTGGGGGTAGGTCGGAATTCTCCATATTTTCCACTCAGTTCTGCTGAGGACCTAAAACTGCTCTAAAAAATAAAACTTATTTTCAAAACAGTATGTACGCCCGGACAAAAAAGCCCACAAAGGCAATAAATAGTTGAAGCTCATCATTTCCTAATCAGTCCCTGTGGCGACTCTGTGTTCTTGAGGTTGTCTGCATCCGCAGCTTCTGCAAGATGGAAAACCCATTTGCGTCACCCAGGGGCTCGGACTGGGCTGCACCCCACACCCTCCGAACACACCTCGGCTGCAGCCAATTCACCATATTCTACATTAAATAGAATTTCTGCAATTCAATTGTTCAAGGATTTCGATCATTTTGCTTTGGAAAGTATTTGGTTACAAGTAACTCCTGTACGGTTGGCTATGATTTCTCTGTAAAAGTCATGACTATTCCAAAGTATTCAGAAAGGAGAAACTCGACTGAAAATTCATTTCAAAGGTGGTGAAACTGTACAAACGTTCATCTTTCCCTTGACGACCCTGATCAGACCCCTGAGCGTTTCTTCTTCTGTAACTTTCCTTCCAGTTTGAGGGCCAGTGGATTGTGTTGCTGCGTCTCAAGCATGCGGAGCAGACAGCCCCTGTGACAGCTCCGTCTGCAGCAGGTGTCCTTAGGTCCTCCCAGATCAGTCCGAGGAAGGAAGCGGGGAGCATGGGCTTTCGGAGGTGACCTGTGGGCTCCCACTGCACAGAGCCAGGTCACTCGCAGCCAGCAGGCAGGAAGCGGCCCCCTCTCCTGGGACATTCAAACAATTGCCTCTGCAGCCCCAGGGAGCCCCGTGAAAGTCTCGTCTACACTCCGGGCCTCTCTAAAGGGCAGGCTGTGGCCTCTGTACCCTCAACCTGAACAACTGAGCCTTCCTGCCGATGGCCTCTCTAGGGTGCACCTGTCCCAGGCATCCAGTGGGAAGGGCCCCCTTCCCACGTCCTCATGGATCTGGGTTCATGTGGAACTGTCCACAGACACCAGACTCAAGGCTCGCTGTTCCCAGGCCTGGCTGCCGATCAGTCACCGAGGTGCTGTGTCAATAGGCAGGACCTGTGGGTCCCACCTTTCTTAGTTTCACAAAACCAACAACACCCTCCGTAATCCCCATGCAGCCACTCCTCCGGCTCACCCAGTTGAGTGCTTCACAGGACGCAGATGCCCTCTTCACCTGGGGACACGTGGCCACATGGCCACACAGTCCTGCTGACCTCCAGGGCGCAGGGTCCACCTCTGTCTGCCCAGGCCACACCCCGTGCAGAGGTGCCCTCATCATCCCCAGACAGGGACCCGTCCCAACCAGCCCCGGTGCAGGCTGCTCCCACGAGGCACCGTTCTCTGGGGGCTGTCACCCTGTGCCAGAGCAGGGCAATGGTGGCCCCGCTCATTAGTAAACCAGCGCCGCGCGTGAGCGGGCTCCCAGCACGCAGCGTGCTCCGGCATGAAAACCACGGTCAAAGACTCCTTTTATCCTTCCCGGCATTCAAAGATTAGAGAAAAACGAGGACAGCTGCACGTCCAGGAACGCTGCTGCTGAACGTCAGCGTGTAACCACAAGCGGCGAGCGCGCCCA